ATTACATGGGGCTATGTTAATTTAACTTATTCTTTCTTTAATCTGTCATTACTTCTAATTCTGGCAGAATGAGTTAATGGAGATCTTACTCTGTTCCTGTCAGGTCTATCATAAAAGTCAGTGAACTTGTTCTCAAAATATTTCTTGCTGGCTTTACGATACTACTGCTAGGTTTTATCGTTCTGACTTTAACTCCTTTCTCGTTCATTAGGGCTCAAATTGTCAAATGCAGTAAATGATTTTTCTTTACCTGCTCAACCTGACTTTATTGTGTGCTGAAAGAAAACTACCCTGCCTGCGTTTGCTTTGATAAAGATGCCTTGAAGTGTTCTGTATGTTTCAAGTGCTCTTGGAATTTCAAAGGTGGTTGAAGCAATGGTCAAAGAACAGCATCCCACTTAAAGCATATAATCCCAATAGTTTTTGAAGTTAACACTGTAACTTACACATTTTAAGGAGTTTGGATTCCTTTTGCCAGTCTGTGTACTTTTTTAATGTGTACTTATGTTGTTTTTAGATGTGGCTGAATATATTACTTCACTGTGCCAGTACAGTTTACAGTTTACAGCTTAAATAAACTTTAGTTCTGTGCATGAAATAGAGTGCTTTGTGGCAGTCAGCTTAGGTATTAGGTTTTATAACAGCTACAGTTCAATGTCTTAAATTGAAGAGGACAATATACTTAACACTTAAGCTGTTTCATGTAAAATGCTGTTGAATTTGTTTAATAATGCATCCTCATTTTTTGTACAACTCTACAAGTTATCTGCCTGTTAATTATCAAAGATTTTATGTAACTTAATAAAAAGATAATTTCTTATCCAATTTTAGGTAGAGGTGATATTCTGTGATGGGCTCTGTGTGTACATTACAACAGCCTTACTAATTTTGAATGGAGCTTCTTGATACCCAACCCTGTCCACTTCTCAGAAGTTCTTTATGTTCACTCTGTACTAGCAACAGCTAGAGATAGTGGCAGTGATCTCTCACCTTTCCCAGGGGTACCACAGGCTGAGGAGGTTTGTCTAAGCTCTTCCTTCCCACTCTAGAAAAGCGTCCATGTCATTTTTTTCCTGTATGTTTGACTGTCCCAGGCGGTAGAAGGATGACTTTTGGAGCTGAGGAACTGAAGGAGACCTGAATTTGAAGACAAAATGACACTGTTGATCAAAAAGATCTCCGTACAGGTCCTACTTGTCCAGTAGTACATAGTATTTTGATTTTACTGCAGTGTAACTGGCAAGCTTGTGGCAGGCTGGGAAACTTGGCCCTGTGTTTCAGCAGTGGAAACTGGCTCTTCAGAATCTGTGTAATTTCTTTCTGCCCACTAGTTGCTGTAGTCCGAGATGTGTAGTTGCCAGGGGCAACCCCAGCATTAATGTTGCGGTGGCTGCACTGTAAGATTGCCGGAATAGAAATTCAGTCCATAATGATTTTGGAGATCTCTGGTATTTCTGAGGGTGATTAGGCAGGTGTCTTGTCATTCCTTTCTAAGGCCCTTGTAAGTCAAAAAGAGAGGAAAAATCTTGGCGTGGATTGTCATTGCTCCATTCAAAACAGTTGGAATAACCTGGCATTCTCACAACTTTTATTCTAGGAAGATGCTGTAATTGGCATCTTGAATTTACACTACTAAGTGCGTTGCTGAACTCCCTGTCCCCTTTAAAGTAGGTCTGACTCCCAGAGGTTGTTAGATTGAAATTACAGGTTTATAAAACAATAATCTCTTGTCGTTAGACATCATAGTTACATCAGTATAGCTTGAGCCTTTTATTAGTTAAATTACTACAGCTTCTGAAAATCCTAGTTGCAAATCCAGAAGTCCATTGTCTTAAGTTCTACAAATATAAGACAAAAGATAGTCTTAAGCAGTTTACAGTGGGAGTATTGGGCAAACAACAGTAGATGAATACTCATGAGGTATTTTGTGTGGTGGGTACAGTTAGACATGAGCTTGTCTGAGGTTAAGTGCTCAAATAAAAACCGGCTTTGGCCTGGGTGTCATGCAAGCAGAGAGAGAGAGAGAGATGCTCTTTTTGAGAGTGTAATGCTGTCCTAGTGAAGCTGCATGTTTTCTGAGATGAAGTTGGCATGTATCTTGGTGCATGTGCAGAATGTCTGTGTCCGTCTTAGCCTGTTCTTTTCCTTGTTCAGTTGCAGTCTGTGCAGCATGACATAAAATATTTCTCCTTCCTGGTTCTCCCTCTCCCCCTGCCTTCTCCTGTTTTTCTCAAGGAACCATCGTGATTTAGGCTTTTGCACTCAGGCCATTAGTGCCAGCTTGTACTTTATTTCCCCACTCCCCCAAGGGTAGCGGTATTTATGTTTGTGTGAATGGGAACTCCAGAATCCTTCTGCTGTTGCATGGTTTCTTTTTTGAAGGATAAGTCGTGCTAGTTTAGATTGTGTGGCTCCTCTGAATGGTAATAGACTTTTTTTTTTCTGATTTACTATCCATGTGTCTGCTCCTGCCTGTCCATGCTCAGATCAGCACTGTCTGTTATGCATATGTCTTTATGCTACTAAACTACCAAAATAGCTGGGTTCTGCAGGAACAGTGAAATTTAGTCATCTTTTCCTTTTGTGCAACAGTTTGTTACCAGCTCTTTGTTGAATCTGATGGTTGTGAGTCTCAAGAGGCTTTATACAGTTTTTCTTTCTTTAAAGCTTATAGAAGCAGGTGAAAGGTAAAGCTGTCAGAAGGGTCCTCTAGACCTTGAAAAAAATTTCAGTCCGCTCTGAAAGAAATGTCTGATACTAAAAAAATGTCCCTGAGCTAAAGGCTCTTTTTTGGGAATTATCCAGGAAATGCAAAGGAGGTCACTGCATTCATGCACATGGGGAACAAAAGCAGATTGGTTTTTTTTTTTTAATTATCTGTGGTGTTAGAAATTATAATAAATATCAAAATAATTTGAAGAGTATTTTGAATCCTATCTCTATTATGCACTTTGAGAAGGCAGACTTGAGGGGACCTTTCATGTCTCAAAAGAAGCAGAACTTTTTTTTTTAAGTTTAAAAACCAATTTATCATCAGTTTATAAATTCATTGCTGCTTTGTCTTGAAACAAGCTATTTTTGAATAGTGTAGCTCCTTTTCTAGGTGACTGTGCCTTTCAAAATGAGCCTCTGAACTGAGCCTGTTTTTCCTTTGAGCAGAATTTCCTTAGTAATAGTAGTTGAGAAGATGGAGAAGCAGAGCTCCTCAGGTTTTCTAGAGTTGCAGTTAAAAAAAAGCAACCCACACTTTTGAAAGCCAGATTCAAGGTGCTGTATGCTGCTGGCCACTGCAAAGGCAATGCTTAGATGACTGTTAGTAAAACTCCCAGAATAACTTCCTCAAAAGCGTTTGTGAAGCTCAAAAGAGTGAATGTTTGGTCTTTTCTGAGTGTATTGCTAGTCTTAGATTTAGAGGAGTATTCAGCTGCCTGATTTTAGTTCAGCTTGTGGTATGAGTGATGGGAGTTATTTTTGGATCATGCTCTGTAAGTAAGTGCAACTGAATCCTGCAAGAGCCATGAAGAGGCAAGTGACAGGAAACTTTGAAGTAGTTTTGTAAATCTTCTTGGGGGCTGTGTCAAATTTGCTTGGATTGAGAGGGTGGCTATTTTGTCCACTGTATAAAGCCAGATTAGAAAGTTTCAGACAAGTAATACCAGTTCCTATTTTCTCAAAAGAGCCTCATTGAATGTAAACCTAGCTCATGTGTATCTTCATCTACACCTCGGTATTCTGATTCTCAGTAATTCCCATTTTAGTCCTTTATTGATTTGTATCTTGGTGTTTTGTGTCAAGACTGTTTAGCACTCTCTCAAAATCAAGGATTTGGAATGAGAGTGAGTTATAGAAACAAAGACATCGCTCAGATAGTGAGCCCTCTAGTGTCATAACATGTTTGATACTGGCCAGTACTGTTTCCTTCAGAGTAATCCAGACACTTCTGTGGAATAAGGTGTTCAGAAAAGAATTGGCTTCCTTTGTCTCATGTAGTTAGTGGTTTTGTTGTACCTTACCACTTGTTCATATCACGTATATTTTTAATCCAGTTTAATTTAAAATTTGCTTTTGTTGTGTTTTTTTAATGGAAAAGTAGTTGTCATGTTTTCAATACTGATGAAAATTATTTTGTGGTAATTTAATGTGTAATTTTTAAAGAACAATAAAGAAGGTTCTTAAAAGTTAATGTACACATGGAATATTATTGAATAAATTTCATGTTCATATGAGATTCCATATTCTAAGTTGCATTCTTCTTGTGCCTGTGCAGTATTGCTTTCAGGTGTCACAACCGTAAGGGAGATTAACAAGCTCAGGACACTGTGAACCTTACTTGCTTTTTGTGCTGTTGCTGTATGGCATCACACAGAGGTGATCTCTGATGGAAGACGTGCTTTTGCAGCTTGACACTGAAATTACGCTTCTTGTCCAATCCAGTCATAGAGGCAATTCCTATCCTGATAGTTTAACTTAAACACAGTTTAGAGTATGTGCATAAACAGCGTATCATCTCTTGCCTATTTTGAGTTTAAAAAATGAGGCTGATGTCTGTTTCTGTCAAGTCTGTAGGAGCTCAGAAGCGCAATAGAAGTTGAAATCTCAAGAGCAGTTAGCATATTTCAGTATCAGTGTTTTCTTTCTTTAAACATTTGAAAGGGTTCCAAAGTATGTGTTGCTTCTATTCCTAAAGAAAAATCCAGCAAAATTTACTTTTGCATATGACCATTACCTTCTAGGTATTAAAATGTTAAGAATGATTTGGTAAAATTAGCATATGTATATATGAACTTTTTGTGCCAGCAGCTTGAGCCTGTCATACTATTTAAGAGTTATTTGTTCACTGCTGTAATGTGTATTATTATAACTAAGGTGATAGAGCATACTTTGCATGTAACAGTTTATGTGCTTAACAGAACTATGATTTAACTTGCTTTTAGAAGTTTGTTGCCATCAAGTTATATTTTAAGAGTAATTTGTACTGTATAAACAGGTTTCTTTTCCAGAGATACATACATATTTTAAAAAATCAACTCTTTTTACAGGTCCCTTTACAGATGTAGTAACTACAAATCTTAAACTACGAAATCCATCAGATAGAAAAGTATGCTTCAAAGTGAAGACCACAGCACCTCGTCGATACTGTGTGAGGCCGAACAGTGGAATTATTGACCCAGGATCATCTGTAATTGTTTCAGGTAAAAACAGATATATGCAGTTGTAGGTTAGGCGTTTTTAGGCCTTTTATGAAGTTCTCCAATGCTTGATCTTAGAGGCTGTTCAAAGTATGTCAGCTTTTTAAAAAGATTTTTTTAAAAATAAAACCATTCCCCTTCATTAGTGCAATGTCAACTTGACATAGAGCTGCAATGATACATGAAAAATCCTCCATACAGAAATACTTGCCAGTCATCACATTTATCTGCAGCTCTCTGAAAGGAGGAAAAGTTGGAAATGGGTAGTGACATTAACAGTACCTTTGCTTCAGACTGTTCATGCTTGTATCTTGAAGTAGGGCATTGCTTGGCTGCTCTGATGTGTTTAAAGTTTAACATTTGACAATTCATTACATTTAAAAAAAAATAAAAATTCATTCACAATTGTAGGCTAGTTGTTTTGACTGTAGCATTGGTCCCTGAACTCTGTTGTTTCATAATTCTTGCATTTATTACAGTAGTATATGTTAAGTGGCATTCATTAAATTGCTTTTTAAAAATTGTATTTTCTGTTATTTTAGGTAGCTGGAGCAGTTTGTTGCCCTTAAATTTGAAAAATCTAGTACCTTTCACTATAGAGACACTCCGTCCTTATTCTGTTTTTGGTTTTTTGGGTGAGGGGATTAAAAAAAGAACCCTTACTTTTCAGCAGCATGAGCCCTGAAGCCAGAGAATACTATTTTTTTCCATGAAACTCCATGGAGGTTTGGCTTACATACTTCATTCTGACAATCCACAGAATTTTGATAGCTGGACATATAATGGTCTAATCCTATACTGGACTTTACAGTGTCAAAAAGACCAGGTGTTAGTAATCATGGGAGCAGGTGTTCTCCAGAAAATGGGAAAAGACTGGGTATCAGTCTTCTGATTTGATAAATGATTTTTGTAGGTCATTCTCCCAATCATTTTGAGGTAGGAATCTCCAGAATAAAGGGGATTCTCAAACCAGTGACTGTGAGAGGTGAGAAACTCTTTATTTCTCTGGACCCACCATATTTCCCAACTTAGAGAGAGGGGAATCCCCTTTTTATAGGCTGTGGTCTTACAGGTTGTAGACATCACGGGCAGAACAGTTGTCAGCTCCTAGACCTCCTAAGTCAAGAAAGCTGATTTTTGTAGAACCCTTGGAGCAAAGCAAAAGGGAAATAACAGAGCAATCCTCAGAGCGTTTCAGATTCATATCCTTATACCCTTCGGGAAGTTTAAAAGAAGCTGGAGAACTAGCTTCAGGTGATACGTTCAAATGTTGCAGGGAATACCTCAGGAAAACTTTATATTTATGATTGATTAAAACCTTAGAGTAACCTTCCTTGAAGGAAAGACCAGTTTTCTAATCTAGTATGATCTGTAGAATGTGACCCTTTAAATCTTGCTTACCATGGACAGTCCAGCATCTCGTGGATGAAAGATCATTTTACTGAGAATTCGTTCAAGATTCAAGTAGTCAAAAGCCAACTTTATTTTTGTCTTCAACTTCGACTTACAGCCATTTTGTGTTAACTGTGTGTTTGATCTGGTGTCAGGAATCTTTCCCATGGGTAGTCGTACATCACAATCAAGATATTGCTGGACTTTACCTTCAGGGAACTGAATAGATTGAAGCATTCCATTTGCCTATTGTAAAGAGTGTTTTCATAGTTACAAATCATCATTTTAATGCTTTGAATATTTCAGTTTTTTAAATGAGGCAATACTGGAGCTGTAAACAGTATTTCAGCTTCAGGTTCACCGGTAAAGGGAAACAGTGTCATACTGCTTGACTCTCAAGTTTGCATAGCAGGGAATCTTTGATATCCCTTTTTCTGTATTACTGGATTCTCATGCAGTTATGCAGCTACAGTAACCCCAGGATGCTTTTGTTGTTTAGTTATAGCGACTCCACAGTGCTTTTCAGAATTAAGCTCTCTTCCCCAAAGCTTCATATTTTTGTTTTTAAGCATATAATTTCTTTTGGGTCACTTGGTAAGATAAGTGCAGAGATAATTTTTCTAGTGACCCACTTTGTTATCTCATCAATCTCTCAACGGAATGTTTTCAGTGCTGACTCATCTTTTACATAATTAAAAATAGATTTCTGTCACATTGTTGTGCAGAGAGAGATCACTATGGGTTACCATGGGCTGAAACTCTGTGTTCAAAACTAAATGTTGAGATAGTGTTAGCTGTCTTCAGCCTGTATAATGCATCATGCTGATTTACAGTCAAGCCAGTTTTTAAATTCATTGTTGGAGATGTGATTTAACAGTCATTTTAAGAAGTCCATGGGCATTTTGTTTATCATTCAATTGTGAATCACTAGGTAACCTTCTTTAGCCATGTTTATACCTTTTTCCGAAAAATACTAATTTGGTAAGACCTGGTTTTCTTTATTTTGGTGCCCTAAATTAACTATTTATTATTGCATCATGTATTGCTTGTCGTTAACTTGTTAAAAACAATTGCTTGTTGTTGATTATTCTTTTCAGAATATAGTGTGTTACTCTTCTTCCTTCACAACTTGTTAGTGTTACTTATTACGGTTCTTCCTTCTGGTTTTCAGACCCCTTTAAGATGTATTTTGTGGAGATAAAGCCCTCCTGTGTAGAAGACCTAGGCCTATTAACAAGAGGCTTACTTTCATAACTATTTGTTGCAATTCCCCTAGAAGTGATCACTGGACTACTCAGGGATTACAAGAGCATGTTGAAAACTGTGGCTTCATATGTTCATGAGATTTTCCATGTTTACTTAAAACCGTGAAGAGCTCGAGGAGCTCTTTTGAATTTGTGGATTGTCTTTTTCTGCTGCTTTTCATTTCAATCAGATTTTCAGCTGTTGCCGAGTGGTCAAAGAACGTAAAGTTATTTAACTAGTTATCTAAGGATTCTGCCAGCACGTGAAGAAGTTCTCTGAGGATGGAAAGCTGGCTTTGCCATCTTTCAAGTTACTCCATCTGTTCCCTTGGCTTTAGGAAACTGGACTACTGCATGCTAGTCAGTATTCTGTTGATGGAACAATTCTTAGAGATAAATTGCTGTAGCATCCATACCTGGAAGAAGCATTTAGTTTGATCAGTTATGTTTTGGACCACAGCGAGATGAATGATTAAGGAAACCTGATTTTTAAACCTTTCCAAATAGGATTGTTTGGAAGCATGTCAACTGTACTGTTGAAAACTGTAGCAGTATTGGAGTCTACAGACTGAATTGGTTTAGAATATATGGGAAGGTTGTTCAGAGCACACAATCTGTTTTTCTAGCTAAATCAGTATTTCTGCTATAGCTTTTTCATTGCTGTAAAATAGGTAAATATACAGATATCTGTTGACAGGGGTCCATAAATGGAATTCTTGGGGTTTTTTTTTTAAATCTTTGTCTGAAACTACTTCACCTTCTCTTTTAATTTTGTATAAAAATACACTGAACTGGAATTCCCATTCCATGGAATACAAGTGTACGTACACTGTCAGATAATTTTCCTCTACAATTCACTCTGAGTCCTTATCCTCTGGTAGAACAAGTTGCAAGTGTACCCACATACACATATTTAAATATAATTTGTGTGGTCCTGTACTCCTATCTGGAGTACGGCAACTAACTGTCTCTGAAAGGAGACAACGGGGCTAACACGACAGTTTGTTTCAGGGTCCGCTCCAGACAGATAGTATGGTTGGAGGTAGACTCTGCTGGTTGTATATCCATACCTCTGCTTCAGTAGTCCCCCATCACTACCATAACAAACCTCGTGTATTCAGGTATTTCTGCAAACCCTTATATTATGCCCCTGGATATGCAGCTGTATCCTATAAAAGTTCTAATCTCCTGGTCTCTATTATAGACATCATGTTATTTCAGTCCCTTTGAACTAAAGAAACCACACACAAAATAGTGATGCCAGGGTGACCTGGACAACTGCTATGTGGTGTAAAAACATACAGTCTGCTCCTGGATGGCCTTATACAACTTGGGTGGATGAAGGTACTGTGCTTCTGTAATTAAAGCTTTCATTTAGAAGTATTGTAGTGTGGTAGAAATAATGGAGGCTATAAATACTGTCCATGATGTAATTTTTTTCACTGAGCTTGTGCACACTTCAAAACAATAACTTCAGAAACATGAGTTTCTGTTCTTGGCCAACAGAGTTTTCAACTTTGGAAAGCTGAAAGTACAGTAAAAAGGCTGTCATTAAGAAAGTCTGAACCACTTGCACGCTCTACCTCTGGTACTTTTAGCACAAACTATGTTGTGTCAAAAATGTCTGGTTTGTTTGTTTTTTTTTTTTTAAATCTGCATTACAGTGTGCTGAAAGCTGGAAACGCGGCAAGAAAATACATAAGATAAAATGCAAGGAGCAGGTATTATGAGCTTTATTGTAATGTTCCACTTAAAGCTGCCGTTACAGGGAATTTGATTTTGAATCCTATCCCTCTTTCTTTGCTAGTAAAACGCAGTGGAGGCCCAAAAGTTGCCATATAATTAAAGTGTGTACCTGAATTTTGGAGTGCTTCTGGTCCAATGTTAACTGCTAGACTGGACTTAGAGTTAAGAATGTTAAAACCTGAGTAAAATGTGTTGTGTAGTTATTACATAACTAATCACTAGAATTTTTTTTTTTAAAGAGGTCAATTTGAAAGTGTTTTAAAGATTTATTATTAAAGCCCTAGGCAGCTTTACTTCCTATAATAACTGTAGTTTGAATGAAGTATTTTAATAGCTTTGCTCCCAGCTTAGATTAATATACCTTTAGAAGTCAGTTGAACTTTCCCCACTGCTGGTGGTCTACCTAATGTAGGTTCTCTCCCTCTTTTTTTTTTTTTTTCCCCCTGAGTTACTATCATAACATGTGCTACAATTCTTTAACTTTGCATTCACTTAATCATAAAATGTGTTTGTTCCAAAGAAAAGTCCTGTGATGTTTGCTTGAGGTTTTTTTTTTTGTCTTACAGGATATGTTTGTTCATACTTTATATGAAATGTCTTTTAGCTATAGTAATTACAGAAATAATCATGTCAGCTATGCCAGACTCTGAAAAACTTTAAGATCTTTCCACTCAGTAGCTGTTGCTACAGTGTATATGTGCTCTATTTTCAACACTGCCTTTGCATTTTAACTTTCAGTGTGTTCAGTGAGGAGCAAATCTAAAGTGGATAGCATGCTTGTTACAGGGATTAGCTGAAGACTCACAGTTTTATGCTTTATTTTTTCTTCTGAACAGTAATGCTGCAGCCTTTTGACTATGACCCAAATGAGAAGAGTAAACACAAGTTTATGGTACAAACAACCTATGCACCACCAAATATTTCAGATATGGAAGCAGTGGTAAGTAAAAATGGGGTATAATGACTGTTGTATTTTTTTTTCTCTTAAAAGATCAGGCTTAAGTGTAAATGAATCAGTTTATTTTTGGAGAATTGGGTTTTCCCTGAAGAAGTATGACTTCCATACGTGATTCAGGGTTTTTAATATTAAATACAAGCTCAGTTCTTAGAACTCCCCTAGTGGACTGGTTGAATGGAAATAGTAGTGAATCTAAGGTAAGGTCAGTTCAGTGTTAAAATATGGGCATGTTGTACCTTATATGCAGCTAATCTGAAAGGGATAAACAGATTGTATTTGAAGGAATCAAGAGTTTGTTTAAACAACAAGCCTGAAGCTGTATGAAATGGGTGCATTTGGCCTGAAAAGTGTTTAAGTGAAATGTTGAATAGGTCCATAATGAATTAAAACATTTGGAAGACTAAGATATGTCTCCCTACAAGATACCAAGTGGCTAACAGCACAAATGATAGATTTATTTTCTGTTTTAATAGAACATGTTGTAGATTCAGTTCTTGGGCAGGACTGGTCTCATGAAAGATCCAGAAAAAAGATATTTAGGTTTGTGCTTGTTAGTTCAGAAGTAAGGACAGCTGTTTCTGAGGTTACAAGCTGGCAGCAATGGGAAGGAAGCCTTCAGTTGTCAGAACATGCCCTTTAGGGTGTATGTGGACTCCCATGAGCATGTATATTAAGGTGGAAGGGAATGAGGCACAGGCTTCTGTCTCTAGAGGCTGTTTTAAGGAATGCCTGAGTTTACACAGGTACATTCAATGTTTACTCAAGGCATAGGAAGAGAGGGGAAACAGAGGATAAATACGAGATTTTATAAATCACTGAAATCCACTAGACCTTTGCAGGTTTAGGCTCTGTCCCCTTAAATTAAGGCAAAGACTACTTGTGGCATCACTCTTCACTGGAAACAGTGGAAAACCTTTTAGATTTTGTTAAGCTTTTGAGACACGTAGCTAGAAAGTTAACATCTCTCTTCCCTGTTCGTCTGGTTTACTTTTTCTTAATAGGCTCCGATAGCTCTTGGTTATGTGTGGTAAGTGAAACGTAACTATTTGTTGAGGACATAAAAATCCACTTTAGAAATACCTTTCAAATAACTGCTTTCTCAGTGTGTTCAAGTATAGAATACTGAAAAACAGATCTTGCAGAAAGTCGGTAATTGTAGTTACAAGTTACTGTACAACTAATGCCATTGAAAAAAAGAAAAAAAAAAAAAGCATGTTATGAAAAGCCTGGATATTCTAGTCTGTAGGACCTGCAATTCTAAGGTGACTTCGGAGGACCTATTCTTGGAAAAATTGCTGCAGACTTCATTCAGATCAGTCTCTGAGCCTAAAGATTTAAGGCAACTATATGAAATGTATGCTTGGAAAGTAAATTGTCAGTTGAGCAGAGAGATTCCAGCATATTTCACAATTATTTAAGTATATTGATAACCATTAGAATTTAAAATCTTTCTTATAAACAGCTTTGAAAAATTCTCTAGGCCCAAATTGTAATGTATTACTCAGTAAAAGGAGGAAGTGGTTAAAAATCAAAATATGAAGAACTGAAGAAATTTATTCTGGAACTAAATATAGTCACTAGATGTCTTGCAATCTTTTGTTTAAAATTGGTGCTTCCAAGATGGGACATAAGGAGTACATTTACCAAGGAGTGATAGGGCTAGATCTTTGTTCTTAAATCAACTCAGATGGTACTTGTTCCTCACTGTGTGTCCTCTCCCTATCCCCTACAAACCTCTGGATCCATCCGTGCATTCAATTTACTCATTTCCATCTCCAGACTTAATTAACCATTTTTAGCTTTCATTACTTTGCAGTAGTCAAAGTGAACAAAAAACATTGTTCAGAAGCAAGTCTGAAAATTGCAGCTAGGGTAAGGACAGTATTCAGCTGTATAGGAGGCAAGTACTAAGAGCAAGCTTATGAACTGTTCAGATGTTTGCATGAGCCTGGCATGTTAAGTAACTATATTAATTGTTGTCTTAGTGGAAAGAAGCAAAACCTGATGAGTTAATGGACTCCAAATTGAGATGTGTGTTTGAAATGCCCAATGAAAATGATAAACTGGTAAGTAAGAAAAGAGTAAGAAACTGTCATACACTGACTAGTAGGATCTCACGGAAATTTGTTTCAAATTTTTTTTTAAACCTATTTGATTTGTTGATTAAATGCATTGTAGGAATTTGTACTAAATTAGACAGGAGAACTGTTCAGTATATAACTTTTCAAGGATTTATAGAATCATAGAACAGCCTGGGTTGAAAGGAACCTTGAAATAAATACTATCTGGTCCAACTTTTCGTCAGAAAGGGAGCAGCCTCTCCAGCTGCATTTTAAAAACCTCCAGCAATGGAGTCTAGTGCCAAAAATTACTATTCTTTTGTTATTTTTAGTATTGATTTGCTTTAGCATTTTATTGCTGTCAGATTAAAAAAAAAAATCTTCAATACTGCATACAGTGAAAAGTGAATTGCATCCTTTGCTTTTTAAAGTATTAAATGCTTTTCAGTTTTAAAAACTCTGTTTCTAATTCAACTGAATTAGAAAAGGAAGTACTGATTAGAAATTAACACATGCTTTGGGAATCCTAAATGCAGTTTTTAAGGTAGTGGTAAAGACAGATAATCAGACAAAAAAAAATCCCATTACCTCTTTCATGCTCTTGCCTTCAGACAAAATCTATTCCAATTGTGTAGGAGATGACAGTTTCATTGTATATGGATTGAAGATGTCTGTTTTGTGTTGCCTGATATTTGGAATAATAGCTAACTGTCAGTTACCTAGAAGTTTTGCAGTATATGACTAAACTCCTATGCATTCGCATTTTTTTACCCTCATACTTGAAATTCTAATTTATGGAATCTTAATACTGTATTTTCTGGGTTGTTTGGGTTTTTTTTGGATTTGTTTGGGTTTTGGGGTTTTTTTTTGGTGCTGGTTTTAGCATTGTAAATTAGAGTGTTAAAGTAGGATTTCTGTAAACAACCTTATTTACTTTATGGCCTTGACTTTTCTTTTTAGTACTGTCCAGTTTTTATGGTAGTCTATAAGGCATGTTGGGGGAAAGTACCATAATCCATGTGTGTAAAAACCATCTCAATATTTACATGCATAAAGGGTCTCAGTGAAGGCTCCTAGCTGGCCAGTAGCTGTCTTTGCAACCATTCTTTTAACAGAGTTTTTGGAGTGTAATGTAAAGATGTTTTTCAGACTTGATGTCAGTATAATGTTCTTGGGTTTGTTTGGTAAAAGGTAATTTGAGATGCAGCCTTTTACTCAGATGTAAGCTGCCTAAGTGTGTTAAATGGTAAAACTGTAAAGGTTAAGCATTTATTATCAAGGCACACAGTTGTTTACTTTCTGTGATTTTTACTTTCTTACTAAATTACATCTTAGATATTAGAAAAATTATACTTGTTTTTAATTTTATAAAATGTATAATGTGGTGAGAGAAATGTAGTGGATTATACAAAGCTACCTCCTTTTGTACTTTATTTAATGTGATGTCTTCATAGTATTCATTGTATATAATGTTTGTGTTTTTCTGAGTAGCAGCATAGGGTTGCAAAACCCTGCTTTAGCGGTTGATTTAGTCAGTCCCTTAAACCTGGCAATGAGAAATCTGCCAAATCCTGAGGGTATAAGCCTTACCTGCCACCTTGGGATATACCTACACCAGGACACAAGTATTTCACTCCAGTCAGCAACAACTTTCTTCAGATGCCTACCAGTCATAAGTCAGAAGATTGACATGAAGAAACCAGTCAGTGAGGTCAAACAGCAGAAGAAGGTTTGTTCCAGGGAGATAAGTCTTAGGTCTCTAGTGAAGTTTCAGTGCTACTAAACAATTCAGTTCAGCTAGCAAACCAATTAAAAAAGCAACAGATCCTGATCTGCTTACTCATGATATAGGTATGTCGACCTTTTTAAATCCAGTTAGGAATACCTGTGTGGAGTGGCAGGATCTGGCTCTTAGGCTATCTGTGGCTGCATTGCAAAAAATGTAAAATGCAAGTAGATGCTGTAGACCAAATAACTGCTACTTGTGTAGAAACTAAAGAAATTCTTGCATCTTGTTTTAGTTGCTTTGTTATTACATAGATCTGTTTACCTTTTAATAGGTTTTCTGTTACATTTAGTACTTACCTTGGACTACTTTGGTTATCAAAGATGCAGTATGGTGGTAGTCTAAATGACATAGCTGTGTAGCCAAGCAAGTAGGAATACAGAAGCCTGAGTCTGAATCTGATCTGTTTCTGAGTGTATTGCCATATGAATGCTGTATTTTTACAAATGGTAACCTGGGCTATATAGTTGAATCTATTGTATTAATGTCTACTGAAGATCATCGTATATTTTGAGCAGAGCTGTGGGAACTGGATTTTTAATTTTATTTTTGGCATTTTCACAGCTTTTTATGTGACTTTTCATTTGTATTCAAAATTATTAATGTGTATTTCAGACATGCTGTGAGATCTAAATTCCATGTTTTTGCAATACCTTACTTTCCTTCAGTAAGAGGTGCTATATAAGTGCAAAATATTTGTGCCATACATACTTCATATTAGTTTGTGACACAACCTGGTTTCTTTATACTTTGTTTTGTTTATTACTATTGCAGGATTACTTTCTTCCTTTTATTTTTTTCCCCTCAAGTTCAAATGTTGTTTGGTGTATTTTATGCCGTCTCTTGGATACCTGCTGGGTCAGTGTTAAGCAGCTAATGTATTAATTTTTGTCTCAGTAGCATGTAGTACCAAATGTAAACAGTGCAGTCTTCTCTTGCTTTTTAATATTTGAGCTAATCAGAATTGAACTGATAACAGAAGTCTTTGTTCAGATTACTGTAAACATAAACTTCATTGAACTGTATTAGTAGCTGGATTGTTTCAGTTTTAAGCTGTGGATGATTTTTCTCTAGGTAAGTAAAATTCTCAAGTCATTCTTAATATTTGTAGAATGATATAGATGCAAGCAAACCTGCCCCAGTACTGAATACATCTAAGCAGGATGGACCGATGCCAAAACCACATAGTGTTTCACTTAATGATACTGAAACAAGGAAGCTAGTGGAGGAGTGCAAAAGACTTCAAGCAGAGATCATGAAGCTGACAGATGAAAATCGGCACCTGAGAGTAAGTTCTGCTTCCATGTTTGTATTGGAGGGGCTTCACTCTTCTTGATTGAAAGGTCTGGTTTGTAATTAGGCCAATAGATGTGTATTCCAGAAAGTAGATGCAACTGTTAAGAGAGTCAAGATTGATTTGTAATACGTTTTTACTGTCCTGTATATACTGTATATTTTGAACTTCTCAGTGATTGAGACATTGTGATTGTCATGGATGATATACTGAAGCTACGTAATTTTCTTCTTAAATGAAATGGTCCTATTTAAGGTGGTCTTAGTTACTTAAAGTCTAAATCAGAGATATTGAATTAGTAGCTTTTAATAAAATTGCTTTATTATTCATTAAGAATGAGTAAATGAGATGCAAAGTGGTAACATTCTGTATCACAAATTGTTAGTGAACAAGAACAATTGCTTGGCCAGAGGAGGTAAGCAAACACTACTTTCCAGTACCTTTATATAAAGGTGCCATTTTAGTAACATGTAACTAGTCAATATATAACTTTATGTGCCTTTTCTATATATTTGGTTTTGGGTATCTGACAATTTCATTGATCATGGTAGTCTTTTTAAGAACCATGAAATAATGATGTCTCCACACCTGCAATTCTGATGACATTGGAACATTTGGAGAAGCAGTACACAAAGCAGATGTTTCTCCTTAACAGTAAGGAGTTACTGCAGATAATTACAGAATATTTAATTCTGACACATATTAAGTAAAAGCAGGATTCTTTGTTGTGCCTTGCAAGAATTTCAGAATCTTTCTTAACTAGAGCACGGAGAGAAACTAGTGGATTACCTGTCCTTATTTGAAATGTTATAGTTTGCTATGTTCATGTTTTGGATTTTGGTGTGGTGTAATGTTGTGGGTTTGGTTTTGGCTTTTTTTTAACTTTAAATGTTCACCAGTAAATTTGGCCTTTGTGTTCAGTTTTTACAATTGTAAAGAAGATGTGCTCATAAATTTTTTCCATCTATGTTCTTTTTTCCCCCTCAGGATGAAGGCTTGAGGCTCAGAAAGGTAGCGCACTCGGATAAATCTGGATCACCCACAGCTTTGGCCCTCAGAGATAATGGCTCTAATTCTCTTCCTTCACTTCTTGTTGTAATTGCAGCCATTTTCATTGGATTCTTTCTAGGGAAGTTCATCTTGTAGAAAGAATGAGTGAGAGAAGCATGCAAAATGCAGCTTCCTTTTTTTTTTTTTTTTTTCTCTTGGCCAGAAAAAGATTTGTTTACCTACCACTTCATTGGTAGTATGGCCCAAGCGGCCATTTTTGTGTACAGCATCATAACAGGCTTTGCCTTTAATGATCTCGCACAGTTAGAAAACACAATCTGAAAAGACAAACTGTTCGGCTACTGGACAAAATTGTACATTAAATCATCAATAGCAGGTGTCAGTTGCACATTCAGTCCTTTATGAAAATTCATAATTAAAGAATTGTTCTTTCTTTCTGTGGTTTTAATAAGAATTCAACAATTGTTCAGAGTCTTGTAAATGTTATTTTAATAATCCTTTAAAATTTTATCTGTTGCTGTTACCTCTTGAAAAACGATTTATTAGATTGCTAATCCCACTCATTCAGGAATATGACAAGAGGTATTCTGGGGGAAATGGTGCCTCTTACTGTGTAAATTTTCTCCTTACCTTACTTTGCTAATGTCATGGCAGAATTTCTTTCTTATTCCTTGTGAGGCATTGTTGAGAGTTCTTCATCCTTACAATCCTGTCCCATAATATTTAACATTACAAAAGAAATAAAATTGTTAACAGATTTTTCTGCTGGGTAGCCTGTTTGTGTGTGTCGTATTTCTAGAAGGGATTCCTAACAAGTTCATTGTTCATGGTAATTTGCTACTTGTAACAGATGGCTATTTTGAAGTTTATTTGCTTAAGTCTCTGGCTTAGACTGTTGTAATTGAAGCTTGGGGGGAAAAAAAAAAAAAGGTTTCCATTCTATTTGTTTAAAAAAATGAAGTTTTTTCTGGCTGCTTTCAGCTACAGAGAGGATGGTTATCAAACTTGTTCTGGGACAGAATGATTTGGATATCCAGCAGGTACAAATACCAGACATGAATGTTTTCAATATATTAACAATTTGCTTGGATTGTGCGGGCGTGTAATAATCAACCTTCTGTTCCATCTTTGGATCTTCTGGGTGTCTTCCAGGAGTCAACATTATTCTTTGATTTCATAAGGGTACTTAATTCACATATACTAATTTACTTTGTTTGTAATACTGTTTTAGCAGATGCTCAAAAATGCAAGTTGAATCATTCAGACACCCATAGTGAATTCCATGATGCAGAAGAGTTGATATTTGCTGAGTGAGCCTCAGTTGCTTGCCTCTTGAAAATGAAAAAGATTTTTATGCAACTCTTGGCAGATCTACCTGTGTTAACCATGTATAGCTAAGTTTTAAAGAATGCGTTTTTTGGGGGTCTGAAATGCTTCCCTGCACTTAATCTCATGTCTTGCCTCATCTCCAAATATGTCATAAAAACAAACAGTAGTATTGGAACAAAATATTATCTGTACTTCTGACTAAGTGTAAGTCAATACAGGGAATTACTTGTAAACTGAAAAATTGTGGAAAGGGTATACTCCTGTAAGCAAAATTGTGTATGCTCTTGGACAGCTTGACTTGATGTGGTGCAGCTAAGTGTGTTAGACTTTGGTATATGCACACCTTATGTAGCTGAGAAAAATGTTCTGGAGAAGATGTACGTTATTTTGGTTGCCTTTGATTTCTAGTGCTTTTTTTAAAAAAGAAAACTATAATTACATCATGTTCTGTCATTGCTTTCTGTGATAAACTTTTTTTATAAAATCTTGCAAGGAAGATGATGAAGAAAATTCAAATACTGCTTATCTTTTCACTTAGCATGCAAGCACAGGTATTTCCAATTATTTGTTCCGGTGTCTGCATTCAAGTCTCCTTCCATCCCAGTGACTGGAAAAAAACTATGTTAAGATCTTGATTATTTTGGTTCCACTGGTTCAGAATGGTGTAATTCTCCTGATTTTTTTCTCTAACAGAACATTGCCACATCAAACTTTCGTAGCCTGTTCCAGACTGATTACATGGAAAATAACAAAAGCAATAGTGTGCAGGATGTAGTTTGCTTCAGACAGAGCAGTCATTCCTGTGCTGGGGGTGGCGGGGAGGTGAGGGAATCCTCTGGAAGATCTTAAAATGTTTGCAGCATAGTGTATGGAGGTTTTGAAGGGTAGCTAGCACTTTTGGGACTTGCGAACAGAAAAAGGAGTCATTGCTCAATGCAGCTGACTCAGGTTTTGATGTCTGGCAGCAGAAATAAAAATAATGATAAAATCAGGTTGAAATAACTTTTTTCATAAATAACAAACAGGTGGCGGTAAAACTTGGTCATGGTTTAAGTAATGTCTTCAAAGTGAAAGTGTGCAGCGGTCTCATAACCAGTGTACTTACTAATGGTATAAGGAGACTGTCTTGGTTTCCAGTAATCCCTTCATAGCTGTATATAAAATGTAATGCTAAAACTATTTTGCTCTCAGGAGTCACTTTGGATGAGATCAACTGTGTTCAGTGAATTATGTAATATGGATTAAATTGTTTGTCTTTGTTCCTGAAATGGTTAGAACTTGTTGCTTTGTCCGCCTGCTTACTTGTGTATGTAAGCACAGGGAAATACAGTCTCTCCACTGCTCCTAGTGATCTGGTCAGACGATGATGCCCATAAAGTCGTGTGAGGCTAAATGTGTAACTTCACTTAAATATGCATTGCAGGTTGCTCTTCTGGTTTCTCAAAAGGGCAAAATAGAACAAGTATACAGTATCAAAGTAATATTTTAAAGTTTTTATGAATATAGCACTTTAAAAAAGGGTAGTATGATGGTTCAGGGGGGAAAAAACCCCTAGTTAAATAGATATGGTTTCTGTAGTAATTCTGGGCACCAAATTTAACCCACTTAAATAAATAAATAAATAAATGAAGTTCATTTAAGAAAAAGTTATTGGTATCAATGCACAAGTTATTTGTGCATTTCTATGCATTCTCTAAAAGCTGTTGACAAGTGCTATTGCCCAGGCTTGCATGTTTCTGCTGCTATGATTGAAGGCAATTTACATGTAAGAAGCAACCAAACACTAGCTTGAAACTTCGTTATCCTCTTGGGAGGAGGGAGGGTGGAGGGAGGAAGTGGAAGGTGACATTTTGCCAAAGGGGAAAAGACAAAGTCAATCAGCAAAACTTATCTTTCAGGCCTTCTTCAAAGATACTAAAAGTTGAAGTGTTAATAAACCATTAAAAACATAGTAGTAGTGTCCTTTTTATTTTGGAACTTCTCCCTGACTGTGTACGTTCTGTAGACTGCTGATACTGAATAGGTGTATCTAGTCCACCTCGCTGGCAGTGTAACTGGCCTGCTTCTAGGTAGTGCTAGTAAATAGTGTGAAGCTGCCTTGGGTGAAGATTCAGTGTTGGAGTGAGGAGCAGATGCCTGAATCCAGGCAACACTGAGGATCCTGATGGTTTGTCCGATTTATAATAGTTGTCGTGACAAAGAGTTTTCTTTTTCCTCTTGGAGTCCCTAGGTATTTATGCTTGCCAGGGCAAGCACTTGCTTTAGTCTGTGGCAAAAGATGGAGTGAGACCTATGCAGTTATAGAGCAACCCTAATAAACATTTACTGTAATACTGAAATGCCCTGCTCTTCATGTTTGTAGGTGGAATTGAAATTCTGTAGCTCATCTTTGTAGCCACATTGCTGTGAACACAGTAGTTCACTGCTTTGCTTTTTACGCTCGTTCCTGTTGAATGGCTTTGCAGGGTGTGTCCTGGAAGGCACATCTGCATGCAGCACTGCCCACTGCTGCCAGGGACTCTGTCCTCGCTGATCCTGAGCTTCTGTGGCAGCTTTTGGCTGGTGGCATGCTTAAATAAATGTTGGGCAAGAGGAGCACCTAAATACAGGAGGTGGTTTTCCCAAGGGTTTGAGCTCCTGTAGGAAGGACTGAAACTAATGATGATTAAATGAGACAGATTTCTTTGTTTCCTGTCTGAATTTCTTTTACAGGGGCACTTGATAACATAACCAAGTGTATGATTGAAGTTGGTCTGTTGTGTTTTTCTTTTTGAATGCACCTTGCATACATTTAAGAAGAATTGCTGATTTTGACAGGGCTGCATAAGCAGAGGTAGTGATGGTGTCGTCACCTTCATTTATTTGCCCTTTAAGTGACAAATGGCTATGTAGAAGTGAGATCATGTGCAAAAGCAAAATAATTGATTCATTTGTCTGGTTTTCTCATTACTGGTAGATGGTAAGGTCAGTGCCTGTTCCTCATTTGCTGGGACAAGGGTTTATGTGTTTGTGTGGTGAACTGGATCTGGAAACAGCTCTGGATGAAATATCTTGTTTCATCCCCTGCAAATTATGTTTTAACTAAATCGTGGTATAAGTATCTCTCACCATACTAGAGTGCCATTTTATTTAAGCTTGGTACCAGTTTAAGTAACGTCAGTAGTAACGACTGCCAGCAGGTTATTTAATCCCTGTTTATACACTAGCTACTTCTGTTGCTGGCGGTGGCAGAATGCTGTTCTTCCCCTCCCTCTTCTTTAGAAAAGATTTAAAAGGTGCTATGGTATCCAGGCACAGAGGTGTGAGACAGCTGCTATTATAGTTAAGCAGTCTGAGTTTGGACACTTGAAATAAATGAAAAATTAATTGAAAGATGACCGAAATATTTATTCTTACCTTTTAAGCTTTTGTATAAGAAAAAAAGCCTTGTGAGTTGTTTTGGTTTTTTTAAAGTTAGTCGGTTCATCATCCAAGTTCTGCAAAAAAAAAGATAAAAAAATGGGTGTAGTCTGGGAGTAATCCAGGATGTTCTTGAAAGTTTTTACTAACGCTGGTGTAGGTTCATGTGCATAGGTGAATTCAGAGAGATTGTCAATGATGATCAGTATCTAGGCTGTTCTCAGAGTGGGTAGTAATAAAACAGCAATCTTTGTGACTGTTTCAGCCTGCCTTCTAAGGATGGCTTATCCTGGCTTTAGAGATGGGGAACCTGAGGCCCAAGTGTTGGGACAAATGATTGGGAGGGAAGGGATGGTTTAGGCACAGCCCCTGTTTCTAGCACACGCTCCATCCTGTTTCTCATCAAGCCTTCTTTGAGCCTTGTCCAAGTCTTCTTTTTGTTGGATTTCCAAAATGCTGCTTCATGTTGCTTGGAGATCTGTCATAGGCTTTTAAAGCACCTTCCTAAGGACTTGGCTGTTGCCTTGTCTGTTAAACAGATAGAAAACATGGCTGTTAGGTGTGTAACAGTGGATTGTGCTCACTGGGTTTATAATGCCTAAAGACAGTGGGGGGAGGGGAAGCTGCTAAACATTTGGGCATGTTGTGTTTGTAGTCTTGGAACATAAAAGTGTGTCTGTATAGCAAAAAAACTTCTGTGGAGCCAACGTGGTTTGTACTTTTCAAGTAAAAGTAAACAGTCCTAAATCTGTACAACTACCCTGTTAGTGCTGGTATATATTGCTCTACCCATGGGAGTGGCGAAATATTTTTCCATTGCTGCTTTGATAGTCCAATACAGATTGTACAGACAGCTAAGCTATGATTTTCAGAGGCACTTCTTCAGAAGAGCCAAGCACTTATTTTTGTTTAAAAACCTAAACATGTTTGACTCCTGCAAGAAGAGGTGCTCCAGCAATAGCAGACTCTTACAGAGGTTAAATCCACTGATGTGTTTTCACTCAAAATTAGTAAATGCTTTGCTGTTATTACTGCTTTTCAGACTGCAGTACACGTCTGCACTGGTATGAGAGCTGGTTTGAGGAATATTAATAATGAGAATTGAGTATCTTCGTTATGAAGATGGTGCTCTGTTTCTTAATGGTTGAGAGGCATTGCTTTAAATCATTATGCAGGACAGCCTAGTTTATAGAACTGTATTTTGGAAAGGCTTAGGAGGAAGGTCTACAGAAAACAAAACTTGAACCCTGGGTCAAAGAGAGAGACAGCCCTCTAGAGCTATAATTAGAGGTACTAAAGAGTGCAGCTTTGATAATGGAGTGGTTCATAGAAGGTGGGAGCTGATGCAGTGGGTAATTTTCCTTGATTGCCTTAATCACCTCAGGTTAGTTTAAAATTTTGAAATTATAAATATGAGACACCTGTCCCACATCTCAGGAGTGGTTGGTGTCAAGTGAAGAAAAAAGGAGTATGGTAGGAAGAGGCGGTCATGAGAAGAGCAAGACAGACTGCTTTAGAAGTGGCTTTGGTAATGGCTTTGTCTTCCCAGGACAGCTGGGCTGTCTGTACGTCCTGCCTTCTCCCCAGCGGCTGTGGCCTTCTCCAGGAATGGGAATTTCTCTCCAACCTCAGGGTGTAAAGCCTCAAACATGGTGACCGGCCTTGTAAACAGGAGAATGCCAGGAGAAGGATTTTCATTGTATTCACGCTCAGGATTGTCTAACCTCGGATTTCCAATGCAGCCTTCAACTTCATGGCACTGCTTTCCAACTTCACTGTCTTGCATAATACCTTGAAATACTTTAGCCCTTGGGCCTCTCATTTCATGTCCCAGCTTCAAGAAAATCAGAACAGATTGCTTTCCTGATTAGGTGAAATTACCTCTTCATCCTGCCTCCACAGGAACCAGATTACAATGGCAAAGGAAGGTCAGCGTATTTGTGGAAAAACTTCTTAAAGAGACGTTTATGTGATTGCAGCATCTTTGTGCTGCTTTTCCCTGTGTGAATTTGAAATCTAATTCAAGCCACCTTTGATAGAGGGGTTGATGTTTCACAGGTACCAGCTACCTCCAGTTACAGGAAAATCAGAGCTGCGATGAGACATGTAAATTGGTGCTCCCATCCAGGGCAAGTCCACACAGTGAGCTGGAAGGATACCCGTCCCGCTTCCTGCTGTGTGACCAGTTAGTGCTGGTGTGCTTGCCAAGCTGTCAGCATGGGCATTAGAGCAAACAGCCCGGCAGCGGCCAGTGGTAGTCCAACACTTGTCAGCAATGTGGGTGAGAGATGAGCATGTTGCAAGGGAGCCGGTTAGCAGGTACGGTAGGGGAAAACTCAAGCCATCACCAGGGTAAGCTGATGAGGGGGAGCAGAGCTTGATCTACCCAGGGGCAGGAAGGAGGTGGTACAAGAAACTGCTAAATAGCAGGGTGAGAAATGCTAAAAGTTGGAGAAAGTATAACCCTGCATGTATGCATCCTCACTTCTTTGTCTGCTCTGCTCAGACACTTAGAAGCACTAATGATTCAATGATAGTGTGTCCAGAGAACGGCAACGAAGCTGGTGAGGGGCCTGGAGCACAAGTCTTATGAGGAGTGGCTGAGGGAACTGGGGCTGTTTAGCCTGGAGAAAAGGAGGCTGAGGGGAGACCTTATCGCTCTCTACAGCTACCTGAAAGGAGGTTGTGGAGGTGGGAGTTGGTCTCTTCTCCCAAGTAACAAGCGATAGGACGAGAGGAAATGGCCTCAAGTTGCACCAGGTGAGGTTTAGATTGGATATTGGGAAAAATTCCTTCACAGAAAGGGCTATCAAACATTGGAACAGGCTGCCCAGGGAAGTGGTTGAGTCACCATCCCTGGAGGTATTTA